GAATATTACGTTTTACTGCGGTTAATATGCATTTGGTACAGTTTCTAAAATATAAAACCATCTGAAAATGCAAAAATTTGTTAGAACGAAGTCATTAAAAATATTGGAACGCAGTCTAACCATTCCATATATTTCTCCACTGAACCATCGGGGTTCATTATGTTTAATGCGTAATAAATATGAAATGGTTCATGAAAGGATTGCACAAATTGATAAAAATTCGTCTTAAAAAATTCGAAAACTAGTCATGGCGTGGGCTTATTTTATATCTATAACTAGCTGTCGCCCGCAATTCCGTCCGCGCGGAATTAAAAAAACACTTCATTGGTAGCTTATGAGTCCTTTCTGATTATGTTTTACATCTGTACCAAATTTCATCAAGATCCGTTGAGCTGTTCCGGAGATACCTTGTTACAAGCACCTATCCATCTATTCATCTAAACTTTCGCATTTATAATATAAGTGAGATAAAATAAATAAATAAAATACCTAATAGGTTCAACAACAAATCAATATGCGATAATAATCAAATTAAAACCAATTTTGAGTGGATACTTAAATTTCCTTACAAATAACATGTCATTTTTCAGTATTACTCAATAAGTCCATAATACACGTATATTACGAATTTTTCATACCTTTCCGAACGAAAGTATCAATTTACAAACGGCTTGTTTTCAACTTATATTTCAACTCGGTATAATTTAACGAGTATTGTACACGAAAGTTCAAATAAGTATCGCCAGGTCTAAACATTCTTCAGTCAAGTGCTTACAAAAAAATTAAGGGTATGTTTTATTTATAGTCCTGACCTACATACTTTTCCAATTCCCGAGAATTACAATTGGAGTAATTTAGAATTGTAAGCAGGTACATGACTTGAAATTTTTTGACATATTTTATTTCTAAAAGTAAAAGTAATTGTGATTCAACGATTCTTTAGCAAGAAATATATTTGTGACTTTTTCTACGTATTTAATAACTTTGCTTGGAATTTAAAAGCGTACAAAAACCTTAAATTTCTTGATAGTTAATACTCTAACAAAAATTATAACTATTTTATTGTAACCATGAGATATTTATGCAATTCACAATCCTAATTTTAAAATTTTACTATAATTATGGGTTTAGTTTAAATAGCTAGCTTATAGGTATGCATTTACCACAACTAGTTGGCTAGATTCGAAGCGGACGTGCCCTGGCGTAGATAATACGTCTACTCAGTAAATAAAGGTACACCGAGTATTTACACCGACATTCAATGTCAATAGAATGTTCGCTTTGTACCGACTCAGGGAACAAACAAAGGTAATCCCCACCGGCGAGAGATATCCTGAGGGGGGCACCGAAGTCACTGTTCGGTGCTCGGCCGAGGTTCATTGATTTTATCTTACGACCTACAGAACGACTGTTTTGATCAAAGATTAGAATGTTTTTGTTTCGCCTTTACTTTATATTCATAAAAATTCAAATTGAATTGATATCAGTTTGTTTTTACGTTTTTCTCACAAATTGTCCTAGATTTTTGGTATAAATTATTTAAACGTTAAACATATATCCGTGTTGCATTTTAACGTAACTTCTGGGCCTATTTGGAGTATAAAAATTGTAAAATTGTGCCAATTACATATGTCATTTAGATATTCAATATATGAATTACTTTCAAGGAAATGTTCTGTTGTTTTTATGTTGTATTACGGAATAACACTTATTAAAACTCTGGCGAATATTCAACTGCTATCCTTTTAATCAATTAACAACAGTACTCATAACCAGCCAAGCCCATTTATCGTGTTTAAATATGACAAAACGTGGTTTTTTTATGAAAAAATACATTACGTTAACTTGAAATGTCAGTCGTTATATTTGCCATTTAAATAGCAAATGGACTTAAATTTTTTTTCTATACCACAATGAAATTGGAATAACTTGCCTGTTTATTAATTAATGATTTTATGAGTATTTGAAAGGCAAATGAATGGATTGGTTAAATATGTATTATACATTTAAATCATATTAGGGTATCATATTTAAATTAAAAATGCTGCAAGTAGTTTGGTTCTAATAAAAAATGTATATATAAAAAGTTGGTATAAAACAATCTGAAAATCGCCTTTAGACAATAATCAGGTTGCTATGCTTTAATAGTTTAAAAGGCAAAATTATATTTTTAACGTGTATAACGTTCGGTTTTTGTAATATTTCGTATTTCTGTAATACATTAGTAAGTTGTTAACAACGTTTGTCAGAAGGTCTGGCAAATGAGACGGTGTTCGAGGCGAGGATGCTAATGTCAGTCAGCCACTATATTTTCCAGATAAGCGCCCCGCTGACGTCTGGCCTTACCCTCGTGTCACAAGAGGGCAGAAATGCGAGGCAGAGCAGGAGATACTTCAGTACTGCTAGTTCTCTGTCTTAGCCTGTTTGTTGAATTAGTAAGTAGTAATAGAAGTACTGCACTGTCTACTCGGCCTCGCTATTCTGCCTCGTGTGAAACTAGCCCTTCGCTGGCTTATTTCATTAGACGTTTGCTTTGACTTAAACTTATAGTTAACTCAGTCTGACTGCAATTAGATTGTCTCGCCTATTATATAACGATAGGAACTTTGTTAATTGTTGTTGGAAGTATGAAGATTATTTTAATTCTTTACTTGTTACATAATATAAAGATATGAGCATTATTTTGCTTCACTATATTTCAAAATGGTTGACTCTGGCCTAATTAATCCTAACTAGGGTACACTCCGAATCAATCCCAGCGGGACCGTATAGTAAGCTGATGATGATATTTCACCAAAAAAACCATAAACTTTCACCTGTCTTGCAATTTTGTGAGCACAATTTTTTATATTTTTCTCTTTAACGCTGTAAGGTCTCGGGTGTAAATTGTGCTGGATATTCGAACCGACGTCGTTAGCGCTGCACAAAGGTCTCCCCAGGGCCGGCTGCGACGCCCGGCTACCTTCATAAATCTTTTCCACCGGCTTTCCGCAACTAACAAGCCAACGTACTACAATCTCGTGTCGATTCGATTCCTAAGCTGCAAAATAACACTGACAAACTTTCATAAAGCCGTCCTAAATGTATTAAAATACTCCGCGTTACGAACTAATCGAGCTTGTAATTGAGTTTGCGCCAGTCAATAGAGTTTTTGCGATAAATTCTAGTACTTTTTTTGATGATTCTTTTGGCAAACAAAAAAAAACACCGTAGTTTTCGTGCAATTCGCCATATTTTAATAATTTGTTTACAAACGTATAATTTTCTGAAATACTTTAATGTTCATTGAAATAGTATAAAGTAGATAAGGAAGAAAGTAAAACAATAAATGTAAACGGATTCGGAGTATGTAATATCGTCGTAAGAAATTCAATAAACATCTTTTATTTAAACTAACTTTTTATGTGGTGGAGCTTACTTATAAGTTTACTTTTTCCAGTTACATAAAATATCTTATTTTATTCATAGATAATTACTCCTTAACTTTATGCTAAAATAACATAATTTCTATTGACGAATTATTTATATTGTCTAGGAATTCTAAAAATATAAAAGATTGAAAAAAAAACAAGGTTTAATAGTTGCATATTGGACTGGATAGTAGCTGTATTCATATAGAATTCGATGGAAGTCTTTATATTCGTATAGCGTCCATTTTGAACTTTTCCATAGTATATTGGAATGAAACGTCCGTCCATTCTATGAGCGCTATGGTTTTAATAAACTACCAAAGAGTCGGGTTATGAAGCTACGTTTCTGTTGCTACAAATGTATGGATACGTTACGCAATATGTACTTCATGTGTTCTTTTTTTTTTTACAAATACTGGTATCGATTTCTTTTAATTTTTTTTTTTGAAATCATAAGGTTGCAAACGAGCGATCAGCCACCTGAATTCGCCGGCGAACTCTAACCATAGACCTCCGCAAATGCAGTTCCGTTGCCTACTTTTAATAGATTGAATAGGGGACGCAGAGAAAGATATATTTTTCCTTTCCTCCTCCGTCCAATACACTTTCCTTTCTCATCCTTTGCTTAAGAGATAAGGGTGGGAAGGGAAAGAGAATAAAAATTAGGAATCCGGCACTACGCTCATCAGACGAAATGCAGAATTGCTTTCACTTGACGCCTGTCTTCTCTGTGGCCGTGGTATTGCACCGGGTGAGCCGACACATTCGTGCAACAAATGTTGTTGTTCCTAGCTTCAAGATATTCACGGCATAGAATAGACAAATGAATAACGATAATCAGTGTATCACTGTACTTGTGACCTCCTGTAAAGGGATTGGAGATAGAACTACCATTAATAATATCTCGGATATAAATCTATGTCGTCAAGGTAGTAACGTCATCATGTTTCCAATTTTGTATACCAAGACCTTGTATACTTTTGTCTTATTTCTTTTTCATTCATATAATAGTGAAATCTATTAGTAAACCTAGATTTTATTAAAACCATGAGAATTTTAGCCACAAAATAAAAAGTTTAGCGGCAATAGGTAATTATTTTTGCACAAAATAACACAATGTATTATATAATTTTACAAACATTTTACAAATTTAAAATTGGAACGCTAAAACAATCGAGAATCGTGAATTCACGAAGTATTTAAGGTAGTAATTTTAAAATGATTATGTATGTTTAATAAAAAAGAAAACATTTTGTCATGTTGTATTCAGTCGGCTGACAGATATTAACGAATATTCTCGCTAAAGCGATCAATCAATCTTGGTAAAACTTTTTCTTTTACTCTGAGGCGTTTTAAGAAAAAAAAACTTGTACGATACACAATAGTGTATTCTTGAAAGTTTCTTTTTATAGCTTAAAATTTGGAAATGACTTTTAACTTTAAAAAGATTTGTCACGTTAGTCAGAGTTATATTTAGATGTTTGTTGAATTTGTAATTTCTAGAGTAACTAATCGATTTAAAGCCTGATATTCCAAGCGTTAGATTATGATTGAAACAAGTGCTTTAACAATTTTTTTCTTTTGTTTCAGTATCGATGGCGAAGTATTTTCGCCCTGGGAACTGGTGGTTTTATACTTCTCTTCTGGAGATTAAAATTCAAAGGGAACCCATCACCTTTCGCTACTGCGGATAACCCTACAGCGCGGGACCCATCTTTTTTTACCCGACTTTATACTTTTGCGTACCTGCCAGTGTTTAATTTTTTTCTCCTCTTATATCCATTCCATTTAAGTTTCGATTGGTCAATGGATTCAATACCAAGGATAACCTCAATCTCTGATCCGAGAAATATATCAACAGTGTTATTTTACGTTGCCTTATCGAAAGTGACATGGCGAGCATTTCTGATGCAACTAAAAATATTTCACGACAAAAAGATAAAATTTTATAAGAAGGCAGCATTGAAAATAAAATCTAAATGGAATTATAATTGCAAGAAGCAAATGAAACTTCTAGAAATAGAAAGAAGAACTGTTATAGCTAACAGTATAGCAAGCAAACCATCGATGTGCCCATGTAACGGATGTAAACACTCCTTAACAATGGATCATACTTCTGTTTGTCGAATAATTAATAATAATAATACACTGATGCACAATTCTAATTGCATATGTGTGAAACCACAAGAAAAAGTAAAAGAAAAAGAAACAGTGAAAGTTCAAATAGCTAAGAAGTACGTGTACAGCACACCACAAGCGTCTATTATTGTTTTTATAGCATTCATGGTGCTACCGTTCGTGCCGGCTTGTAATATTCTATTCTACGTGGGTTTTGTTGTTGCTGAGCGTGTGCTTTACATTCCCAGTATTGGATTTTGTTTATTACTCGGACTTGGGGCAGGTTCTTTGACAAGGAACTGGAATAGGAATGAAATAAGATGCCGAATTTTTATGTTTGCATTGATGATTACTCTGCTGACGATGTGCGGGTGTACGCTGCGCAGGAATCTAGATTGGCATGATGAAGAAAGTCTGTTCAGAAGCGCGTTGCATATAAATCCCCCGAAAGGTAAGAATAATTCTATTTAATAATGGAAAAAATATTTTTTTACAGTTTCTATAATATTTTTGTCTCTTTATCCGGAGCCACACCATGACCTTGGTCTACTTATGGTCAATGTTACTATAAATCGTTAGTCTCTCTCTAAGATTCACTGTTTAAAAGAGAAATTGAATTTCCCAACTTACCAATAATATATTCTAAATTTAATCAAGTTAATCCACTAACAAGCAAACTTCTATCTTACGACAAAGATTCATTAATCATTTGGGAAATCACGTTTCGAGTTGAAAACTTTTAAATTATTACAATTTGCAATGTTTTCGTGGCATAACAAAACGACTCGAGCCGGAGTAATATAAAGTTGGCAGCGCCTGTAATTTTACTCTGTACCTTGGCCGAAACTTTGTTTGGAGCACTTCCACGTTCTGTTCAAACTAAGACACAATTAATTTGTTTGAGAGACAGCTACAAAGTACCTGTCCGCGTCGCGTCAGCTCGTCAAAGTTGAAAAGAGGCGGTCGCGTCGTGGCCGGCCTCGGCTCTACAGACTATCAACTCGAGGGCTTTTAATGTATTCGCCGTTTCCACTCGCACTAAGATTCTTGACCTTTCTAGAACGCCATTAAACATGCATGTACGGTATCTCGAGGGAGTCCGCCCCGGGCCCGTGTTCACATTACAAACTTTTGCGCAAAGCGAAAACTTTTACCTGATGGTTCTCATTTTACTTTAGTTCTAAAGCCGACTCGGAAAGGCATTTTATTTCGTTTCTATATACATACGACAGCTATTATTTATCTTTACATTATTACAAAAATTTAGAGGAGGTGAATTTATAATTGATCGATAATTTAAATTCTCAAATGTAACAATAGTTGTTTTGCTTAATCAACATTATTTCTAGTAGCTTTAATTTTTTACATAAATAATCCATCTATTCAATCATAAAATAAATTATAACTCTTAAATATATGAAAAAATATATTTCTCTTTTATAATCTGTGTACTGCTGGAATTTTATAAAATCTCGTAAACGTAAACTCTCGTAAATGTATCGTTTACACAAATAAAAGAGAGTTTTAAAAAAATTCCCGATTACGTAAAAAATAAAAGAATTGAAAATATATACTAAAACATTGATTACTCGAATACCGTTTAAAATTTCAGCTTCACCTTTTACAAAAGCGAGCTTAGTTCGGAATAATCTTTTTTATGGAAATCTTCTGTTTTCACCTCGCACTAAAAGCTAATTGGATCCAATTTGTCCCAATGGGATATTCGAAACAGACCAATCACGAGCTGTCCTTGCTACAAATTGGTTAGGGCAGAGATAGTGGCGCGTAATCAGTCGACTCTGGCGTTTTATCGAATTCAACTTTTGTCGCGATTGTGAATGTATTGCAGTTACAAGTGATTGAGTTTATGTTTGTTACCTTTTGTTTCTTTTGTTAAGATAAATAGCCTTGTTTATATTAAAAAAAGTTTTTACTTAAATCTTTTTAATTAAATGTACTAAATCTATAAGAAATGTCTTATATGTAATTTAAATTAGTCATTACAAATATCATATGGCATCTACAGAATGTTCGTAAACATCGTAATTATTATATAAAATTCATATTATAAACGCGCCAATGTCTATAGATATTTTTCGTTTTTAGCCTCCTGTATATTTGCGGCCCAATATTAGGACAACGTGACTACGTATTATTTTAGAAAATGTGTCATTGTCTTGCCAATTTAAATGAGATCTTATCTCAAATCTTCGATTCATTTAAATCTTAATAAATGTGTGTTCAGGGTACCGAGGCATCTATCTCTCTCAATCCAATAAGGGCAAAATAGTCGTGATAGATGGTATAAAACAAAAAAAACGAAACACAACTCCGGAAACGGTCCGCCATTTACGGCCGTATTTCGGGTCGTATTTTACTTCATAGGTCGGTACAAAGGTCAAAAGTATTACTTTAATGGACGTCAAAGAGAATTGTTTGGAATCGGCAACGTCTTTGAAACTTAATATTTGTATTGCGAAAAATCCTCGGTTCAAATAAATGATAGAAAAAAGATATGAAATGTTTTTTTTTTTATTTCTTGATTTTCATAATTATCTTTTACCTGTTAAATTTCTTGGGCAACAAATATTCGTTAGGTACTGTCGCTTAGAAAATGTCTATTACTCGGCAGTGAATTACGAGATCTGATTCACTTTGTAATATTACGATTTGAAACACGCCTACTTAAAATACATACAGTTTTTTTATAGACTAACTTATTAACTAATTACATTAGCAAACATTTGATTACGTTAATTAAAAACTTCTGTTGAAACCACATACAGGTGAAACTCATCTAATTTCCATTTTAAAATGATTCATCAGATATGTTCCATAGATTGTAAAGAAAAGGGAGACGGTGTGTCGCATCCGTAGCGATGATATCTTAGTTCTCTGTATAAGCTTACGTTTTATCAAGTCTATCTTTGCGGAGTCTGAGCAGAGGTTCCCAAAGATAAGAATCGTTAGTGTCACTAACCAGCTTTGCACCGTCATATCGTTAGTGGAATCTCTAATTCCAGATGTTTTGCTTTACTTAAATAGTTATCTGATTAAGGTAAATGCACTCGAGTTTATTAGTTACAAGAGATTGTATCTGTTTAGTAGTTTTACTTTGATATTGAAGTGGAAACTAAGTTTCTATTGTATACCAAAGTAAGGGTTCGCAAACTACGTTACGTAATATGATATTACTATTGAACTTCAAGTGTGAGGGTATATGTCCTGTCGCTTAGAAAGTAATTGTTACTCGTATATTACTTTCTCTCTAAATTATTAAATCTATACATATTACTTATGAAATATTACAATTTCCTACAATTTATAATAGCTATTGTCGTCGTGACTGTACGCAAAAACATCGGGGAAACGCTGACTTCAGCCGGGTGAACTAAGATTGCGATTATTATATTCACTCGAGTCCCCTAATCTGAGCGCAATAAATTTGGAGAAAGGTTCGGATTCGGTTCCAATTCCGAAAAACACGAGAAATACACAACATTTCCCCGATACAAGAGATTTATAACCTAACGTAGTACTCGATGTATATTCCCAAGAATTAATATTTCGCTCAGTTTAACTTATAAAATAGGGATGTGAGATATAATACATGAAATTACATTTCCGAATAACATATTTAATATACAAAGAAAACGTAGACTTTGTAAGAGCTTTTCTAAAATGTAAAATGTGGTAAATAACATGCATGTAAATATTTGTGGCCAAGAATAATATTTTAGCATATTACATTATGATTGTGTTTATTTTAGCGTACGGGAACCTGGGCAGCGTACTCACCACACAAGGGAGGATAGCGGAGGCGGAAGTTGCATTCGGCCGGGCTCTCAAATACAGGCCAAACATGGCCGATGTGCACTACAATTTGTAAGTAAATTATTATATTTCCTGCTACATTTCTTCTTCATTCATATTCATGATTTGGGTCGACGTTTGCTTAAGAACAGAATATTTGATAACATTAATATTAGTTCTGACATTTTACGAGAAACTGAAACTTCAGTACACATAAATGAAATAACTCCACCGTTATAATTGAATGTAATGTAAAATTTAAATGGGTACAATATAATTAACACCATGTGATATATGATACATTAGAACCTTGCCTAAAGGGACTTCTTTTAATAATATATTTTAGTTAATTATTCGTTTTTAATATTTTTTTAATATCATAGATTTAAGACTCCTTTGTCATACAGACAAGGTTTATTAAACTATTGTAACAAAGGATTTATATGTTAGTTGACTAATATTTTGAGATGTTTACGTTCATCACAACGTTTCATTAGTTTTAACAAGGATATAAAAATTAATTTCTAAACTATTTGATCAAATAACAAAGTTTAACTAATTTTAATACCGTGTACTGCCATATAATTTTTGATAAGAAATAATTTTATCAATTTTTAAATATTTAAGTTCGTAGGATAAAATAACGGTTATTTTAATACAACAATCCCGTGCAGTCCTTCGCCTCGTCACCTTGAGATAGAAAATTATTCCACACCAGAAATTTCAGTAACCTCAAGGGCCTTGAAAACTCTCTGTTATACTATTTACCTCATAAAACAGGCCATTTACTAAAATATTATAACAGTACATTTTATATAATAACAATGTATATAACTTACCTAAACTTAATATTATAAAGCGGAAGAGTTTGTTTGTTTGTTTGTTTAAACGCGCTAATCTCAGGAACTACTGGTCCGATTTGAAAAATTATTTTTTGTTTGATAGTCCAATTGTAGAGGAAGGCTTTGTGCTATATAACATTACGCTGAGACCAATAGGAGCGAAACGTCAGTGAGTACTAATTATGTTTTTTAATACCGCACAGACGGAGTCGTGGGCCACAGCTAGTGTAAAATATTGTAGCCGACTTTTCGGTATCCCTTGATGTCCAGATTATACATACGAATATACAGCCATTCTGTTTTACATTTAAATTTAGTATATTAATTAAATTTTAATTTGCACATAAATTTCCTTAACAGCATCGGTTCGATGAACGAAATAAATAAGGTCGGATTCCACTGTTAGAATTACGAAACAATCAATAGGCACGCAACACGACTGCTTGTCCCATTAATTTGGCGAGGCACCGAGTTCTTGAATTAATCGGGTGCGCTAGTCTCTATCCCGCCACCTAAGCGTTGGGTTTCCATGCAGTTTCACAAATTAACGTCAAACGATCCGTTTCTATAATGTACAGCGCTGCTACAAGTTCCCTTCTAAATGTCGGAAAACACGTTCTTGTTAAAACATTGCTTTATTTAATTAGTGTCCCTATTAATTCAATGTTGTAAATTGTAATACATTAATTAACAAGCTTTACACTAATTAACTATAATATTACCGAAAGCTTTTTACGAAAAGATTTTTTTTACGGAAGTTTTTTTGGAAAATAGTTGATACAAGATAGTTGTCATTTGACAACATAATATTTCACAAAGCACTATTTTCCAAATTATCTTGTACATACTTCAGTGTAAAACGTGCAGGTCTAGATTTAAAATAGAACATAAAAAAGTTATTACTGGAGTAGTTGCTACATTCGCCGAGGGGTTGTGTTCTAATTTATAAAATATTATTATCGTAGTCTGATAATTTTTCAATAGGGAGATGGAATCTTTTCCATATTCCAGCGTTATTTGACATAAGTCAAAACGAACGAATATGAATTAAATAGGTTGTGACTTAGTTAGGTCATTTGACCTTAGTCAAATTCAAACTAAATTGACATAGGTCAAATGACATCTTTAAGTAGTTAATAGTAGTACAGCTTGAATTTTTTTTAATAAAGTAAATAATGAAACAAGTATTATTTTAGGAACTCTGTATATTGGTATTACATTTAACTATGTACATAGTAGTTTATTTTAGCCATTAAGATGTTTATATCCCTCAATAAAATGAAGTGAAACAAAAATAAATAGAAGGTGTTCAAAACCGTTGGTAACGTTGAGGCGTTATTAAGAGCACTCGTAACAGCGGAGCATGTATGTGTAGATATACTGATGTGAGAGAAACGAGGGAATTGTGTCGGATTCTCTGGGTCATGGGCGTTAGAGCTTTTTATTTATTTCTTAAAAAGTCGCCGATATTTTATAGCACGCCCTGAGCTTGATGTTAGTGATAATAATAGCATACTGAAAATCAGTCTAGTATTCGAATTTTAAAAATGTTTTGTTTGAAGTTATATAATAAAATTTTCCATTGTTAAATTATTTTTATACACAATCGATTTTACGGTGAAGTTGTTTCTAAGAATAATCTACCCACGTCTGTCTGGAACTTTGCTTACGTCTCATACACGATATAAGTACTAAAAAAATTAAATGTTATGCCATATTGATGGCAACACAATTCCTCGCTATTAATAGCTGAACGAAACATTTGATATAGTTTTTTTTTTGTTTTAAAAACATTATTGAAATAAACATAGAAGCTAACTTTATTAACTTATCTAAAAGTATTAATAATTTTTCATATCACTCAGTAGTTTTTGAGTTTCTTACAATCACAAATAGCAATGATCTTTATATAATTAAAGTGAAAATGACAAAATATACGCATTTGGAATCTTATTAACATTATAAATGCGTATGTTTAGATGGATGGATAGATGTTTGTTTAAAGATATCTCCGGAACGGCTAAATGAATCTCTCGGAAATTTGACATAGACGTAGAACATATAGGGTACTAATTAAGTTTTTTTGAATTCCGCGCTAACGGAATAATTGACAACATTCTTGTATGATATTTTATTATAAAAATGTTTATTTGAATAGAACAAAACTCAAAATAGAATAGAACGAAAATGCTGATTTTATAATTCTACTGCGCAATAACATAATAGACTTGGTTTCTAGTCTAACGAAGTCACATTCAGATTTGTTCAAAGCAAAAAGAGTATATTGTACACAATGAATGTTTACATTGGTTTTATATAAAAGTTGTGTTGGCATTTGGATGTACTGATTTTTCTATTTATTTATTTCACGAGTTCTTCTTTACAATTTTTTTTTTACAAATAAAATTAGAAAAACCGTTTTTTCTGAATGTCTTTTGATTTGTGAAGCATTCAATTTAAGTTTTAATTTTTTTCGGAGAGTTAAAGTAGGAGAAATGTGTGAGATAATTAAATTCGGAACCGTTTTATCCTGTTACCTAAAATTACTTTCTGTAAAATAAATGGAAAGAGAAATGAACTGCGATTTTACACAAAGATTAGGTAATTCCAATTCTAGCGGCAAGAAATCACTTGAGCACGTACATGTCGCTAGAGAATTTGTGTAGGGGAAGTATTGTGACTAAAATTACCTTGTTGCATAAACTTATTTATTCAACGATTTGCTTATAATTAGATCATATATTCGGTTAAATAATTAACACGATGAAATAATAAAAACAAAAACATCGAGGAAATAATTATATAAAATTCATTGTTTTATTTTCACTTTTAATTAAACTTTCAATGTTCACATTAGAATAAAAAAAAGGAAAGACGTCTTCTCACTTTTTAACACGTTTTGGTATTTTAAAACAATTTTTCTACGGTTAATATATATTTATTGTGCTATCTTAAGAAAATATTAAAAGTAATGATTAATTAAATAAGATGTATAAATGAATAGATTTTTTTTATTTGCTAAAGAATAACTTTTTGACTAAATGTATTTACTTATAAATAAAGTGTAACAAACTATTATTGATGTTCGCAATATAGTGGAAATATTCAGTGGAAGAACGCAAACAATTTAAAGAGTGAGGCGTCGCTTGCGCTGCGTAGTAGCTGTTAGCGATAAGGCATAGATTAAACTCGTGTTCGCTCACAAACACATATTTAACATTCTCGACGGCTAGACTTGCGAGAACTTGTGAAGCATTTGTATTTGCACATGTTGGCGACATAATTCGGTTTATAAATGCCTTGTAACATGCTCGTACAATGGATTTATGTTGAACGATAAGATTAACTATTTCCCTTGAACGCTTCGAATAACGTTGTGTCAACACAACCTTTTATACCTTGATAGTTTTTTTTTTGTTTATTTATATCTTATATATAAAATTCTTGTGTCACAATTTTCGTTCCCATACTCCTTCGAAACGACTTAACCCGTTTTCATGAAATTTTGCGAGCATATTTCATTAACGCTTTTAAAAACAACATCGACAAGCTGAATATCTCCAAATTATTTAGCACACATATCAGCTGACCAGCTGCCAGTGTGCAACTACATATAATAATAATATTAAGAAGGTCTGAGAATCGGCTAACATCTAAATATATTTAATCCCGCGCGGAAGGAGATACGGGGACATCTAGGTTTTTTTTTATATAATTGTCTTGCCACCGTCAATTATCTATTCGGTTAGTATATGCATAGCTACTTCATGTCAACTTTAAATTTGCTACGCCATTTTGAAAATCGCAACGACTTTTCTTACAGTGATCTTCACAAACGTATTACAAGCTACTGTCTTTGGAGATGACAGGTATAAATGATCCGTGATATACAAGAACCTATGCATTGCGTAAGTCCCTCGACGACTAAAATCGCCGAGCTTCCAAGATTTTTCTTGCCTCGTGTACGAAGAGCTTTAAACATTATATTTTACTTTGGTTCCTTGTATTAATAATCCTATAAAACATAATATTGTCATACGAAAAAAAAAAACTGACACAGCAATATGTTTAATACAAGTTTAATAGCTAATAAAATTTAAGGTTAACGAGCACCAGTATAAAAGATAAAGTACAACAAAACGTATCCTACATTCCGAATAATATCGTGCGTAGTTTAACACATGTTATTCTTTGCGCACAAAATGGGGGTTATAATAATTATGAGGGTAGTAATGATTAGTTTTATTTACAATTTGTCACCTCGGCTGGATCTGGGAATGTTGGTATCGCGTGACCGACGTGGTGCGGGGGCAGTGCGGGGGCGCCGCGAGGGCATCGCGGTCGTATCGTGAGCTCACCCCGTATAAATTACTTTCAATTTATCCTACCACGTTTACCTTACAATTCAAATGTGCCGAATAAAACGATAAATTTCGGATCGTTTTAAATTTGAAGAAAATTTAATGTTTACCTTTATATATGTATGTAAAACCATCTAAGATATTAAGTAGGTTATTTGTTGTTTGTATTACATTTGTAGTCATTTAGTAGATTTCTAAATAAAATTATTTTCCACAAATGTTCTACTCATTCAAAGTACTTTAACACACACAGAGCTAAACCCAAAGCGACCGTACAAAAAAAAAACACAATTTTTTTTTGGTGGGATGTTTAAATACAAAAATGTGTATTCTTTTGAATACACAGTGTTCTAAACACTGTGTGACAAAAGGGTACTCATGGCGCTTAAGGTGTTAAACGCAAATTGATTTTTATTACAACATTAACGACGTCTAAAATAACGCTTCTATACAGTAAAATTCATTCGGAAATATGACCGAAATATCGCAAATTACATAAAATTTGTGAAAAAATCATATAAATTACAACAAACTCAACACCACACAAAGCACGTTACAATAATTAGAGGGGAATTAGTAACAAATTATTGTTGGCGTAGGCGAGGCGAGGCACAGGCACAATAGGTCGGGCCGGTTGGACGGTTCTCATTAGTGTAGCCTCAGCCGCGCTGAGCCCGCCTCGTTGCGGAGCCTGCATTATTCATGCGGACAATATTGCACTACCGCCGTACCTCTGTAATATTGAAGCTACTTCTTTTACCCCCCCCTCCCCATCCCCCTACTCCCCTACACCCCCTCATGCTCAAATGTCTAAATGATCCTCGATACTCGGCCTACCAGTAATTAGAACGTCGATTACACAAATACTTAACGTATTTTACATTTTCTAGTAGAAAAAGTTTTAGAAATAAAAGTAATTTAGCAAAAATTAACTGCCAGAGTCAAAATTGGTAACTAAGGAAGCACTTAGTGTAGGTATATTTATATAACATGAAGAATACGCCAGGAGAAGCAATTCCACGTTTCTTCTTATGAATGTGCGTACCGGAGGCTGGATTTTAGTACCATTTCCCTTTCTTAGAAATTAATCAAAAGAAAGGAAGAGTTTTTGACGGAAGAGGGGACACATAGGAAGGGAAAATATCATTTTTCTGTGCGTCCCCTCCTCCGTCGTTTAAAAGTAGGCAACTCATCTACAATTATATATCTATGGGTAAGGGTTGCTTCGCTATTTCTGTGAATGTGAATGTCGCCGACTACTCATTTGCCACCTTATGATATAAAAAAAGAATAACTATAAATTATTAGTCTTGTAAAAACATAAAAAAAAAACAATTACCTTAATAAAACTTAATGCAATTGCAAAATATTTGGGACAGCTTAAAAGTTTATATATGTAGCTCCTAATACTAAAATTATTTTTGAAAATATACCCATGTCAGACCTAACGAGGATTCATACGTTTTTAGCGGAATTTTTACTAAGTGAGTGATATGAGTGACTGGTTACAGGGGAATCCTTCTACAG